TGGATAATAAATATGGTAAAAATATATATCAAAGACAGAAAGTATCCAATCTTTCCTTTCAACACTTTTTGATTGATGTGTGAATCACTGATCCCGCCCTTCCACCTTTAAATACGGAAGAGAAGTCATGATTGCGCCTCCCTGTGGACAGATGGCCGCACAGCAGCTGGTCCAGCAGCAGCAGCAGCAGCAGCAGCAGTGTCTCCAACAGCTGATCAGACTCTTCTCTCCTGTGAACGTCCGGTGAGTCCAACAGTCTCTTTGCTTCTTGTTCTTCTGGACATTTGTTTCAGAAGATGTTTCACCAGTGGAGGAAAAGTTTGTGTTTGTATAGTTTTGTGTCTTAAAGAGGGTTCACTCTGCTCAAAGTCTGAGAAACTGAATGATTTGAGCTGATGAGTTTGTTCTTCCCTGAAAGTGTTAGTGTCTTGTTAGTTAGTTGATCTCTGGACTCTTTGCTGTGTCATTCAGACTTTGTCTTTTCTCATTATTTTATATTGTAATTCTTGTGTGTTTACAGACAGAATTGTTTGTTAAGTCAACATGAAAAGTTTCTTTGTGGTTGAAGTTGATTCAACGTTAAAGAAAAGTTTCTGCAGTGTCTTTACACGAAAAAGAGTGTGAATCACTAAGGGTCAAGTTTTTACATTGAAGTAACATGAAGCAAATATTCTGTGACGAGGCCGACAGCCTGATGTCACTACTGAGGAGTTTAAACTCAATGAGGGTTGAACAAGCGTTGTTGAAGAAGGGGACTCTTCTCTTTTACATAAAGATTTATTTCACTATGATGCATTCAACTTGTCTGGATTAATTTTTATGAAATCATGATGTAAATCAGGAAGTAAACCAGGAAGTCACTTTTGGAGGGAAACTGCAAAGGCCTCAGCTCAAGGCCTCACATCAGCTCCCAGCAGCCTCTGGGAAAAGGAGCTAAGTTTTAATTGTCAGAATTTTCTACTTCTTTTACTGACTTCACTCAGATGTTCAACTTCAAGGTGAGTTTTAAATTTTTAAATGTTTTTTTGAATGGGATTAATTTGAGTTATTTTGTTTGCAAACACATAAAATTCAATACAACCACTTTAACCCTTTGACACACTCGATATAAACAAACTCCTTCTAGAATGACCTGTATTCATTTCCTATGTAATTTCATGCATGGCTGAGAGTTTCTTTGCTGTATCTTTGAAATAGATGTTTTTCATTATTTAATATTCAACGTAGTTTTTGATCATTATTTTAATCTTGTAAATTTAATCTTGTAAATTTTGTATTTCTACAGCACTTTTACACAGATGGGTCAAAAAGACTACTACAGTATATATTTATGCATGTGACTTTTACTTCACAATCCAGTTACTAGTGAGAAAGAGAAATATGTAAAATACTAGTTAGCTGTTGACATATTCTTTTCTAGCTAGCTAACCAAAGCCAGATCAACAAAATAAAACTCAGAATAGAACAGTTTATACAAAATAGACAGCAAAATATTCTCTTTTGCTTTCGATTTTCTTTATCCAGAGTTAGTTATACCTGGTCCCAACCATTCCAGATTTACAGCATGAAGATGAGGAGCCAATTCTTGGTCTTGATTCTGAGCCTGAAATCTCTGATGCTGATGACCAGACTATGTTCCTGCAGGATCAAGCTGGAGTTGTGGGGGAGTCTTGGAATCCAGCACTATGACATGAAGTGAACTGTTCTTCCCTAAGTGGAGGGGGATGCTCGTTATGCTCATTATAATGAACTACAGGATCTTTATTTTCTTCATCACAGTGGCGGAAATTGGCTTCAATAGAAATGGGAACTCTATAAAACTCATTAAATCACTTTGTAAACTCTGGATTAAACCAATGTATTAAAAAAAACCGCTCATATTAAATACTCAATTGTCTGACCTCGATTTGATATATCATATTTGTCTTTTTATTTTTCAGTTTCTCTTTCTCTTCATGGTTCCTTCAGGGCAAAGACTCTAAATTAGACTCTGCTCCAAACAGCTGCTTCGATCATTGTTTGGATTGAGTGACCCCTCATTATATAATGAGCATTTAGCTCCATGTAACATTGAAATAAATTTGTGTATAAAAACAGGAAAATAGTCTGATTTGGGTTTATTTTCATCACAGTCATTTGATTTACACCACGTTGAATTTAGTTCAGCGCCACTGATCAGTGCTGTTTGTGGATAAGGTTACACTGAACTCTAGTGGCAGCATGTTGCATATCCCTCCGAATCTGTTCTCACTGCTTTGACAGAATCATTTTATATCAATAGTTTGTCCAATCTGGGCTACTGTAAAAAAACATGGCAGCCTCCGTAGAGAGGACCCGCTCCTGATGTAAATATAAATTATTTAAACAAAGTATTTAAATATAAAGGGCCATTCTAGGGTAAAGAAAACAACAATTTGTACAAATTAGATGAAACACACTAGTGAAAACATCACTGGGATTATTTTATATTCAGTTTCTGCCATTAGATCCTTTCACCTGAATCTTACACACTAGACCTTCAAGATACTTAAAAATAATTAATTATGAATTTGAGATCACAAACTAAATTCTTTTTTTGAAACATGTTCAGTTGGCACTGTTTGTGAACATCTGTAACCAAATGGAGAATTTACGCAAACTGATCCCAGGCTGTCGTTCAAGTCTGAGAATTGAATTTCAGCATCAGGTCGACAGGACACTGGAGTTGAGACTGAGGTTTTCAGGTACTTAAGCTTCACTGTGATTGAGCACTGAGCCATCGAGCCATATTTCACAGACACACACACACATCACACACTCGTCATTTGCTCCATGTCTCCTACACTTTGCACACTTTGTATCACACTTTAATACATTGAAGCCACTGAACATGTCAGAAAAAACTTCATGAAAACATATCTACATTTGAGAAATCTTTGCCATGTTGGAATCATGTTACAGTTTTTTAAGGTTTGTAAAGTGCAGCTGATTAAACAGTGTTAAAATCTGCAGCCTTTGCCTTCACGACTTCCTCACGTTTGTGTCTGTGATGTTTATCTAATCTCAGTTCTTTAGCTCCGTCCAAGTCTCTGTCTGACTCAGAGCTCAGAGCAGGTAAAAGTGACAAAGCCCTAAAAGGGGGTCTGGTCCCTCGACTCTCGGGGCCCTTTGTTCGAAGTGGGGCTGCGATGTACTTGGTGTTTGAGAAAGGACCCTTTTCAGGGAGGCCGTAAGGCGATCCTGGGCCTTTCCTAGCCAGGGTGTGCCCCGGGAGTCTCTGGTTTACCTGCGGGACCGTGAGGGGCGGGGTGCATGGAAGTGGGCTGGTCCTGACTGCAGGGCCAGGTAGCGGTGGAGGGGAGGAAAGCAGCTGGTCAGTGGAAGAGAGAGAGCGAGGAGACCCAGAGAAAGGAGGGGAGGGATGGAGGGATAGATGTAAGGCGAGAACGCTGAGAAAGGACAAATAAACAAAGGTGGCGATGAGGGTCTGAGGTGAATTAATTGTATCAAGCTCTTTCTCTCTGTGGAGACGGTCTCTGGAGACAGCGGCACAGGAAACAGTAGACAGTGGATGCAGTATTGGACGAAGCAGAACGACTCAGAGGGACCTGCAGCTTTTAAAGAGTCAAGCAGCTGAGGAACATTTCACGGTTCCTCCCTGAGAGTTTTTCTGACGCACGATTATTGTTTCCCTTCTGGAGATGAGGTGATGTTGTGGAATGACCCCGGGTACAAAAGTGAAGCCATCTTACACTTCTGACGTCACGTCCCCACTGATGCTTGACAGATAGCGAGTCTGTATCAACCGTTGATCATGATATTTCACCTTGTTTTATATCAAGTAGGTAATTACAACTAAACTTAAAATAAAATAAAAACTAGTCTTTGGCCTCATGCTTTCAAATCTCCACATTCTGAGGTTGAGTTTATATGAACTGATCAATTTCAGGTGGACTTCAGTTGCTGAGCAGGACACAGAACTAAAATGTGCTTTAGAGGAAACTTTGAATTTGCAAACTCAGTTTTTGAAAGTTCATGTGCAGCAGAGTTTTTCGGAACAGTCGAGCGACACAGAAAGTAACAGTAACTCTAAAGAGGAAGGAGGAGGAGTGTTTGTGGTTTGTTGTTTTTCTCCATGAGTGAACTAACGGCACCAGGTTCAGTCGGCTGTGATAAGTTGTCAGACGTGTAGTTTGTGATTGATTCGTACTCTAACAATTTTTGCCAGTTCTTCAGAACCTCGCTCCCGAAGACATCTCAAGAAAAATGGGTTACGAGATGATTCATGAGAAGAAAAACAAGACTTTTTCTCACAGTTATTTACTTTACCTCAGTCTACACTTTATACTTCAGACTGCTATTTCTTCAGGACTCTTAAAATGTTTCAAAACAACAGCGTGAGTGCACCATTATCCAAAAGTATCATGTATTGATCCTTAGTTTTGCATTAAATTCAGAAAAACTCCGCGTTAATTTACACCCACAGAGACATTTATAGTTTGTGTAATGTTTTATATGTGATAGTGTTTGTATGTGCTCAGTTGTTTGCTGTGATTAACTCTGCCAAGGAGGCTACGTTTTCTCCCCTGCCCGTTGGTTTGTTGGTTTATTAGTTTGGAACAAGACAATCTAACAACATTTGGACTGATAACGAGAGAGAATTATCTATGGATCTTCATGAAAAAAATCCGGCATGTGTAAGAGGCGGATATATTTATGCATTTGTGTTATTTGGTGCAGATACGAATGAGAAAACAAAAATCTGGATCCAGTGAATTTCAATGTGGTTTCATGAGGGGACTGTTGGGGCTTGGCAGAGGAATGCACTTTGATTGCACCTATGTTCATCCGTCCATCCATCCATCATCCATCCATCCTTAAAAGGGTCATTGGGCATCAACAGTACAGCTTCATCTGTTGAAGAAGACCATGCTTTGATAAAAAATTGAGTTCACTGGAAACGTTCCCCTCTCAAAAGAAAATAAAAAGTGCAACACTGAAGTCCTCATTCTTCCCTATAAGATATTTACATTTAAACACAGAGCTAAAAAGAAATATTTATTATTAATAATAAAAACTACAACTATTTGAAAACATGTTTCAAGAAAAGCTTTATCCATGTAATAAGTAGAAAACCTCTGTATTGTGTAACTGTTTGATGTATTATTTGAGTATTTTCATCCTATTTGGTGTGACGCATGTTTTGAAGAACTTTTCTCCAGTAAAGGCTGATTATAAAGGGAAGTGAAATTCTACAGGCTGAGGTTTATTTTGAAATCAGGAAGCCTCATCACTTCATTCCGTCAGAGACAAGCAGTGTGCGCAGAGCTGCGCCTGTGACAAGTCAAGTACCTGCTGCAGCAGCTTTTACGCACAGAACGGAAGAAAACCAGTCGTTTCAATGCAGCTGATTTCAAAAGAGGAAGAAAATTCTCAGTTTTATGATTAAATGAATCCGATCAAAAGTCTACAATCATGCAAATTAAGAGCTGATTGGTGAAGGACACGGACAGGAAGGTGATGGGGAATCGAAATCACCAACAGCCAAGAACATGGTTTTAATACTTTGTGGAATCTACAGTGAATAACTTTTTGTTCTACGATGCACAAGAGATGGACGCGTCGGAGGCTGCCGGTCCTGGTTTTCACCTTCTTCGTCATCCTCTACGTGGATCTTCAATTACGCACCAGCGACGCTCCCAAACTCAGTGCCGTCCACGTTCCGCCAGCCGGTGCGCTCCACCGCGCCATCCAGCAGGCTCCCTCCACGGCCAAGGACTCACAGAGGCCGGCCGGCAGCAGCGGAGAAGCTGGACACCCGACCACTGAGGGTGCTCATGTCACTCAGCCAAAACTGGAGCAGGAGGACATCTTCATCGCTGTGAAAACCACCGGCAAGTTCCACAAGACGCGTCTGGCGCTGCTCTTGGAGACGTGGATCTCAAGAACCAAGACGCATGTGAGTCCCTGATGTGTCTGCAGCTGCTCTGACACTTTCATTTAAAACCTCTTACATTATTTAAACAGCAGAACACCCCTGGGTTTAAAACAGTGAACATGTGGTTTAATGAGCACAATGAATAGAGGAGATTGGAAAGTGGATTGAAGGAATTTTACCAAAGTCTCGATCTCATTCAAAAGACACCAATTTATAAAGTTACATACATTCACATGTCCTCAAAGCAAACTCATATGATGTCCATATCCACAGTGCGAAGTTCAATTCAATATTTCTACGATCAAGTATCTGACTCGCATGTTCTTTTGTTCTGTTGATGAAATGAAAACATTCACTTCCTTCCTGCTTTCAAGCTGCAGGTCTCTGATTGACTTGTCCTGAGTTCACCTCCTCACTGATCGATTGTTTCACTGATTAAATCGCAAAAGAAACAAAAACAGTCATGTGGGAAACAAATGGTGTTTTCTAGTCAGTTGTAACTTCTGCTTTTTTCCTTAGATTCGACATTAAACACTATTTTTTGTGGCTTTGAAATAAGGGGAAGTAGATTTTTAAAAGTGTAATTATTTATTGTTCAGTTTAGTTTTAGTTAGATTTTGGTATATCTCGGTTATATTGTAGAATGGATCCAATATTGTTGGAAACACACTTGTTTGCTTTAAGATGATTGATACCTGTTAGCTATAGTTAGCTTAGCATACAGATTACAGCAGCACCACTGAGCTGTCCCGTTTACAAAGCTCCTGCAAATATACCCGACAAATGCGTCTTTTTACTCCTGAGCGATGAAGAATCCAACTTATTGCAGGATTTATTAGTTCGACCTCGTCCTGCAGCCACCACAGGTTCCCTTTGCTGCGTGTCGGTCCCCATTCTCTCCTCCCTTCTCAGGTTGACTGTCCTGTCGTTAAAAGTGAAACGCCCAAAAAAATGCACTCCATGCGATGGTTTATGAAACTGGGTGAAGTGCTCATGTTCTCTCCTCCAGCTTCTTGTCGTCTCTGTCACATGTAGACAAACCTTTCAAACAGGTGCTGACGGAAGATGGTGATCCAAATTTAGTTTCTACTTCTTCCTCATCGCAAAAATGAAACTCAAGACTGCTGAATCTTTGTTTTGACTGTTTAATGTGTTTAACAAGAGGCTGAAAATCTATATGTACATGTAAAAAACAGACCCACTGGTGTGCTGTATGTATACACATCAGCACATGGACACACAAAGATGCAAGCAACACAAAAAAACCACACACACACACACACACACACACAGACACAGGAAGCTGTGCGGGCAGGTTGTCTGGGCCGAGGGGAAGCAGCCGCCATGTGACGACTCCGTGAACAATACTGAAACGGAAGCTGGTCATAGAACAGGAAGTGGAGAGGCTGATTGTGCAGCGCAGAATCAGCCTAGTGTTACCTCACACACACACACACATACACACACACACACACACACTGTACGTCTTACAAGGTGAAAAGTCATTTCTAACAAGCTTGGCAGCCGCTGCTGTTTTGCATCGAGCTGGAAACTGAGAAGTTGCAACAGAAAAGTTTCATGGTTACGTGCGATCATCAGAGCTAACGCGACAGAATAATTTGCAGCCATGTTGACTCTGTCATGTACAGCAATTATTTGAGTGATGATTTGGATATAGTTAATACAAACAGCTGAGGCTGATGGGGACAGTCGTTAGTTTCGTAGAGTATTTGTACATAATGATTTGGACAAATTGAAGTTTTGACAAAAAGGCAGCGCTAGAGGTAAAATTAAAGAATCATCATAATCATTCGGATTCTCATCTTGGAACCGTGAATGTCTCAACAAACTTTAGAGCAAATCCATCCCAGTAGAGTCTGTAACTCTGATCATCATCTGCAGGGACCCGTAAAAAAATCTTTAAAATATTCGAAACACATACTTCCATGCATCCTTTAATATCTTACATCCACTAGAGAGAACAGTGCAGAGTCAAGTGATACTCGAGGTTACTACGTTAACCTGTCCACTGTACCCCCCCCCCTCCCCACGACCCTCAAAATGACTCTTGAAGTACAAATGTTACAGTTTAATTGATTTTTCAAAAGCGTTTTCCTCAAAATATCGACCTATTCCCTCAGAGCTTTGGTCGGACAATTTGGACACTGGTGGCCTATATTTGGTAGAACCTTAGCCGGTGATAATGATAATACGCTGTTGAATAAAATAAAGTCACTGATGGGTTAAATCCCAGAAGCAGCCAGATAAATCTACAGTAATAAAATGATTTTCTCTCCACCCTCAATTACTCTCAGCAGTGCTTCCTCAAGACACCTCAGAGATCCCCTGTAGCACATAGTTAAGGGCCAAATTGCAGATTTGAAAGCCTGAGTCCAATCACACAGCCAAGGAAACTAGGAAGTATAGATCAAAAACCTTATCCAGATGTATTACAGTCATTTTGTGCTGTGGGGCAGCACAAATCTTACTTTAATGTACCTTTAACGGTGTGAAAAACAAGATGAGATTTATGCGTCCCTGCTCGACCTCGGTAAAATATCCTCTCAAACTCCTGCTTACAAACCGCTGAAAGCCCCCAGTCCGCCATTTTTGTTCCACAGCGTGGGTTGACTGATTTCACTGCAGGTAGTTTAGTTTGAGTTATGACCAGAGGGGGAGGAAACTAATTGTGGTGGCGGCTCTTGCTCGTGGGATTTTCTGGGTGTAGGTCACGGCGGCGGCGGATTGATCCAGGTATCTCGTCCTCCTGCCTCAGTGATGGAGGGATGATGGACAACGACGAGGGGAAAGGGCCTTCGGGAGAACAAGCGAGGGAGGGAGGAGGTAGAGTTTGATCTGTATTAAAATGACTGAAGCTAAGATTTAAAGGTTGTTTGGTTACACTGAGAAGGAGAGACAGAGAGAGAGGAGTAGAGAGAGAATTAATGGATGGGGTTGGTACAATAAAACAGTGCTTAAATAGATGCAGCCTTTCTTTTCCAGAATGCAGTCGAGAGAGTAATAGGGAAATTAGTCACTTTAATGTGAACACAAATACTTTGACACAAGTCTCATGGGGGGGGGGGGGGGCATGTTTTCAAAAAAGAAATAAAAGAAGAAAAGATTGATTAAATGAGACTAAGAAAAAGGAATATGGGAATGAGAAATAATAACATGGATGAGATAAAACTAAGGAATCACAGAAATTAAATAACTGTATTTGTATAGCACTTATAAAGAAGGTTACAAAGTGCTTCACAAAATGCATGGCAATAAAAAACTAATGATTAAAAAATAAAAGGTAAGTGGAGGTTAGGGTCATTTTCAATTCAATTTAGTTTTAAGTGCCGAATCAACATATTACTGTAACATTGAGACCATGAAAATTAAATACGATTATTTCCTCCATTTCACAAGTGGAAATATCATTTTGAATAGCTCGTTTAAAAACGAAAAATCGAAGCCCTGCTCGGACAGATTATCCTCCGTCCCCTCAAACTTTGTTTTAATCTGCATGAAGCTGATATCAGTGAGATGTAACACTGTGTGTTAGAGCCACTTACAGAGCTCATTTTTAATGTTTTTAAGATGTTTTTCTGGAACATTTTTAGTATTCTGGAGAAATGACAATACATTTTTCTGAAGTTAAGCCAAACACAAGTTATGGTTTGTGTTTATCTTATCTTTCGGGTGATTTGTCCCACTCTGAGTTTATTTAGCAGCGGCCTGGCACAGAGAGTGGAGCGCTGCATCGCCGGGTTCTATATTCTATATTTACCCTATTTCTAATTAAACCTGTTATTTAATCTGATTCACATGTGAACATTAATGTCTTGAGTAGTTTTACAATTTCACAACACCAGAGGTCAGCATTGTACTATCTACTACTATCTATCTATCATCCATCCCTCCATCCATCTGCCCATCCATCCATCTATTCATCTTTCATCTATCTGTCCATCCATCTGTCCATCTATCTATCCATCCATCTGTCCATCTATCTGTCCATCCACACAAACAAATTGATCAGTGTGCAGTGACTCATTGTTTCCGCTCACAGTGGGGAGCCTTGTTGTTTCTGTCACATTGTGTTTGCTCTATTTTAAACGATATTGATCCTGTGTGAATGTTTGTGTGTTGGCTCCTTAATGAAGGTGTTTGTTACAGACGTGGAGAAGATGCTTGAGTCCTAATCAAAGCCGCTGTGTCTCTTTCTGTTTCTTTTTGTCTAGACGTTCATTTTCACAGACGCAGGGGACGAGGACACAAGTTCAGAAGGTACGAAGTGGTCTTGCATCTAATTTACACACAAGCTGATGTCGCTAAAAAGTATGTAGATATAGTCTTTAATTCAGTCTTGGTGAGGGGTCGGTACAACTTTCAGTCGTCTCTTGATCAGAGACCCTTGTCATTTTATCGCTTCTGTGAGGAAGTCTGACAAGCACAGGACCATAGACTCAATAAAGATGGACGACAAGTCTCCACTTCTTCCTACTGTACACAAACAAAACTTCAATATCAGCAGCCATCTTGTGCTGGTGACGTAATTTGAGGCCAGATTGCAGTGGTGATAAGAGAATGCATTGTCTCTCTTGCCTTCTCATCCCTTTATTTTGTCACTACCTCCCATCTCTCTCTCTCTCTCTCTCTCTCTCTCTCTCTCTCTCTCTTTCTTTCCAGTCTCTCACCCCCTTCTCCAATTGTATGAACTCTAATAAACCCATTTCCTTTTTTTAGATATTATAATGAACATGTTAATTATTTGGTTTTTGATGTTTTCATTTGTCTTTACTCATCTTAATTTGACCAATTGTTGTTTTTCTTTATCCTAGAACCTTTATATTTAAATACTTTATATTTTCCTCTGCTTTGAGGCCGCCATGTTTTTTTACAGTAGCCCAGACTGGACAAACTTAACCTTTTGAGTTTTTATGAAGGCAGGTTTTCTTTTAATGTTTGAAAGGGGAGGGTGAGGGGAGGGGTACTCAGCTGTAACATGTAACTTCACCACTAGATGTCACTAAATTCTACACCCTGAACCTTTAAACACATCTCTCTCTCTGTCCAGGTTATAACATGGTGGTGACAGACTGTCAGTCCGATCACAGCCAGCAGGCTCTGTCCTGTAAGATGTCCGCTGAGTACGACAGCTTCATGGCCTCAGACAAGAGGTGAGACAGATTAACGTCTGCGTCCACGTTGTTTAAGATCGGATTAACGTAACAAATCATTACTGCGGGGAAATCGGACTATGGCCCCACTCGAGGCCGTCATATTGTGTTGTTTATATTTGCTCATATTTTTGTTGTGTGGAAAATAGCTCAACAGCTTGTGTATGACTCAGGCTGGGTCTGCTGTCTTGGTATTCAGATGACAAGAGGAAATGAAAGAGAGTGTTTGGTTCCAAGCCCCACTTTGTTATTTGGGGGAAGCAAGGCTGTGTGGTTTGGATGGAAGCCGTCGATGTTGTTGTGCGGCCAATGGGACGGCAGAGGAAACAAGACTCAGCGCTTCGTTTTGGTACCAGCTGCTTTGTCGTTTGGACTCTGATGTTGTAGCAAGAGTCTGTTTTGTTTGGAAAGAAGAGTTTACATCGTGTCCAGTCATTAAGGTGGCAGAGGAAATCAAACAGCTCAACCACTCAGAGTACTAGCAGTCAATTTCATTGTTTATTACGTCTGTTTTTCCCGATGCCTGCTGCACACGAGAGGATACATGGGATGGTTTATGAACAAATTACTGGGCCAAATAATCCTGTGTCCCATGTCTGAGAGCAGCATTAGAGTCGATAAACCCCTCACGCTGCTTTCAGACATGCACTGAACTCCGGATTTCTGATTTGAGTGTTTGCAGAAATCAATAGTTTGATTGGGAAGGGGAAACAAAAAAAACCTAATAAACCAAAACAGTGTTATATGATACTTTAACTCCATGTTGTTTCCTGTCCTCTTGTCCATTCAGGTGGTTTTGTCATGTGGATGATGATAACTATTTGAACCCGGAGGCCCTCCTGTCCCTGCTCTCCTCCTTCCCCCAGGAAGGCGACATCTATGTGGGCAAACCGAGCCTGGACAAGCCCATCAATGCTCACGAACTTCTGGAAGGCAACGCAACGGTACCACAACACGGTGTTTCTTGGCCATATATATTTTTAATTTGCGTGGACATTTTCTGCAGTTCATGTCTGAAAACAGCTTCAGTGACGTTGATGCTTTACGGAAAAGAAAGCTGGGAACACAAAAGAGGCGTTTGGGGATTCGTGCTTTCTGTGGGAGAGATCAACACCCTTTGCCACAGACTTTGGATTTTCGTAACTTGGCTAAAAACAAAAGCTAGATGACATATTAAAGCAAAGGGGTGGGACCTGAAAAGCACAATATGAGCATGTAGATTTCACGTAGGAGCTTTTAGGATTCTTGGCAGATTGAACCTCTTCTCTGCCTGAAGCTGCGCAGGGCAGAGTCACGATCACAAACACTATTTTTGTGATAGTATTCAACAGTTCAAATGTTGAAGAAATTCGAGTCCTCAGTGTTTCACTCGGAGCGTTGTTTTCTTTTTTGGCAACACTGAAAAGGCTCTGAAACAGCATTTACACCACAGCACTCTATAACTCCCCTGAAACCTCCGGCTGAATTTAATTTACGTGGACCGATAACTCCTTAAGGCAGGGTGACCCTCTGAGATACATTACTGTCTTGGATGTGACTGCACAGATTTATTTTTTCGGGCTGCGCTGTCTTCGGAGATTCTTTATCTCTTTTATCTCCATCTTGAATCCCTTCTTCCCTCCCTCTTTCTCTTCGCTGATAACCTTTTTCTTCCAGCCCACCTAGGCAGACCTCATTGCTGTCATTCAATCTCTGATACTTGCCGTTGCTATTTTTTCTCTGCCCTTTGCTTCGTCTTTCTTTGCATCCTTCCGTCGTCTTTGTCTTCAGCTGTTTTCCAATGCTGCATTGTGGGAATTCACAGCCTCACCAGAGTCCTTTCCTGCAGCCTTTCAATGGTTTAACTGAAACTTTCTCATGTGATTAACCCAATGATCGTAGCGGCTTTTTAAATGTATCTGAAATGTCCAGTATTTCACGTTATTGTCATTGGAATAAAGCTGTTGACATGGTTTCCAACATTAAAGTAGAACGACAAAGGTTCATCCAACAACACATCCTCATGATCAAAGATGAAACAATCTCCACCGCAGTAACGTTTAACTTTAAAAGAGTCATAAAACCCTGAGAGTTGAAAACCCTTGAAAATTTCGGGCCCATTTCTGAGACACAGGACTCACAGGTACCCGGATTTCAGCAATTTGTGCGATTGGACACTTCGGATTGGTCGGTTGAAGTTCTGTCATGTCAGAAACATTGGTCGGCCTTCTTTAGGCTCACACACAGTTGAAGCATACGAGTCAATCCCCCTTTTTTTACGGTCTCCGCAACAATGACACCCAGTGGTCGGAGTAATTCTGTTTTTGTTCCATTCTTTTGATATCTCAAGAAAGCCTGGAGGTAATTTCTTTAAACCTTGTCCAAATGTTCAGTTAGACTCAAGGCTCTTGAAAACAATATCTGGAGTCAGCCTCTTAAGCAATTTCTTCAAAAATTAACCAGTGACTTTATGAGTCTGGAAAATAAATGTATGTCGACTGAAAGTGCACTGGTTGGCAGAGGAGTATAATGGCAGGTGATGATTCTAGATTCTGACCTATTGTCCATCTCTTAAATCACATACAGCTTCATTAAAAATCATCAAGTCCACATGAACCCATTCAAACCTTAGAGTGAACTATTTCTACAACCACAATTCAGGACTGTATAAATCCAACATACATGTTACTGTTGATTGCTCGTCCCCCTGGTGGAGATGCCTGGTCACTTCAAGACGTTGCTGTTTTAGATTTCAAATAAACTTTGATATAGGGGTTTTTTTTGGTCTTGATTTCTCTCCCTCTGTCTCTTCCATCCTTCCCTTCTTCTTTCTTTTTGGATGCTCTGCTGCTCTTAATGAACTAAAGCTGAGGTCCCTTCCTATTGGGTTTCTGCCAAAACGCAGCCCAGCCAGGTTAACCACTGCAAAGCTAAATCCATACTTTACATTCTTTTTCCATTTTTACTCCCGTCCCTGCAGAACGGGACGGAGAGGAGATGCACTCAGGGAAACATGGAGGAATGTATGCATGGATGTAGGAATGAATGAAAGGATGGATGGATGGATGGATGTGTGTGTTCACATGGGAAGGATTTTTGGACCCAAGTGGATCAATGAGTGATTAGTGTCTTGTTGGGATATTGATTTGTGGTAAGACCCACACACTCTCTCACACAAACACACACACACAGACATACATACGAGGAAGACTCGCTTGGGGAAGGAGGGATTCAGACTGCAGGAGGTCGATAGTTTGTTTTTGAAATACACATGCAGCTATTCCCATGTATGTGTGTACGTGTGTGTGTGTGTGTGTGTGTGTGTGTGTGTGTGTGTGTCGTTCACATGCTCTCCAGTCAGATTAATGCTCCCATTTAGTTAAAGTGCACCAGGATTCCAGCAAGCTGTTCTGAATAGCGCTCCATCCTCCCTGCACACTTCAATCTCTCTCACTTATTTCTGGGAATAAACGACTCTCTTCATCTCCCTCGTGTCACATTCTCTTCCCTGATTGCTCCCATTTACACTGAAAAAAAGATCTTTATTTATCTTTGCTTCCTAACTCCTCTCCTCTTTTTTCCACTCACATTTTCTGACTGTTCCCTCACTTCAACTTCTCTCTTTTTGTCATTCTACCATTTCCACCCTTTGCCGAGGATGTCTGAGTGATGGAGAAAACAAAAACGTCAGAGTCGTCTTTGTCTACTCGTCTCATTTTTTTAAATATTTCGCTGCCGATCTCATTTGATTTCCTGTCGCTTTTGTGAGGAGGAAGAAAAGGGTAGAAAAGGAACAGAGTCTTACAATAAAACAAACAAAAGGACTTGAAGGATGAAAATGAAGGAAATCAAACTGAAAGGAACAACCTGTTAAAAAAAATAGGAAGGAAAGAGAGGAAAGATATATAAAGGAATGAAAAGGAAGAGAAATCCAAGCGGAGGGGATGATAAAGTGAGAGGGGCGAACGACAAGGCAGGAAATGGGAAAAAAAATAAAAGGGAAGAGGGAAACTAAAAGATAGGAAGGGAACAGGAAGGAAATGGAAGAATGAAAAGGGAAATCAAATAACGCAGAAGACAGGAAAGGAAAAGACTGAAGACTAAAAATCAATATTGTTTCCAGTTATTCTGTGTTTACATGTAATTGTTAATATCTGTGTTATCACTCAGAGGGAGGTTCGATTCTGGTTCGCCACAGGAGGAGCAGGTTTCTGTCTGAGTCGACGACTGGCGGAGAAGATGGCTCCATGGGCCAGGTATTAATACTACTACTACTACTACTACTACTACTACTAATAACAATAGTACTACACATACATATATTTAATATATGCTGAATGTCCAGATGAGTGTAAATAAAGAGAATAGGTGAAACAGTTAATTTTAATGTTGTGATTTGGCACCTTACAAATAATTGAATTAACAGTTTCAAACTAAGTTTAAGCCCATTTACCACATTTCATTTACTTAACATCTTTGAAAATATAGCCAACAGAAGTGTCTCATTTAATTCTAAATTCTTCAGAGTGAATTTTATCACTAGGTCACTGAACTCTATCCATCAAAGAAGCAGCAGCATAACGTTTTTAAGCTGAATAAATCTTCACAGTGATTAATCACCAATCTAAAGTAAGTTTCAGCTTCTACAAGTTTATATTTATTCTTCGCTCAAAGAAACTGAGACAAATGGCCGCCCAGGGCCAGGAGGTCGGGAATCAATATCAAAGTTGCTGCTGTTCTTTGAAAAAGGTCAGAAGCACAGTAAAGAGTTCATTGGCCTGAAAACATGCAAAATCATCAACATCACCCTGTGGAAGTTTGATAGTTTTACTGAAAATATTTCACCCTCAAACAAATTTAAAAACACAAGCTGAGATATATGAACCTTTGTGTTGTTTATGTGTATTTCAGTGGCTCCCGGTTCGAGCAGACGTCAGCGACCATCCGTCTCCCCGATGACTGCACGGTGGGTTTTATCGTGGAGAAGAGACTCGGCATCTCCATGGTTCACTGTCCTTTATTCCACTCCCACCTGGAAAACCTGCTGCTCATCAAACACAGAAGTATCGCACAGCAGGTACGCACACACGCACACACACACACAAACACAAACACACACGCTAATGCACACACACTCGTATGGATAAATGTTGTGTGTTTTCTCAGGTGACACTGAGCTACGGGATGTTTGAGAACAAGATGAACAGCATCGAGGTGAAAGGAAGCTTCAGTAAGGAGGACGACCCCTCCAGGTCAGTCTGTCTCTGTGTTTAACTTCATCTCTTTATGCGACGCACGCACTCTGCTTAGATTTCACACGGTTCATTGATATTCACGACAAAACTCCTGCACTTTCTTCTCTGCACACATCTGACTGGGTCTAATATGTCATGAAAATAAAGCCTCACACACACACACACCTGCAAACAAATGCAAGTGAACGCGGTGACGTCACGGTCCAACAAAGGCTGTTATAACAACGGCCTCTGATAAAGCCTGGCTCACACGACAGGATTTTCAGCCTTATGGGTCGTTGCCAATTGTTGTGTGTGAACTCTTCAAAGAAAAGACTAGAGAATAATAACTAGAAAATACATTTTGATACAGATCCAGGATTTGTTTATCACTTTCTTTAACATTGTAAGACGGAGCCCTCGGTGTAGTTATACTCTCTCCTCAGTGCCAATCTAGTTCAATGTAGTATAATTTAACACTGTATGACTGAGTAAATGTGAGGTGGAGTCGTTTGATATTCTATAGACTCTTCTATAAAACAGATTAAACTGTGGAGAGGCTCTGTCCTGGTTAAGTTGAACTTTGCTTATTAGCATCTGGTGGCCTCTGGGTTTGAAGAGGTTGACTATATAAAAGCAATGTCGCTATTTGGAGCGTGGAGGAGAGAGGTTGTTTCATCTCATCCCTTCTCTTTCTCTCTCTCTCTCTCTCTGCTCATTTCTTTTTATCTCTGCACCCGTGTCTTTGCACAGCCCCTTTTCAATTAAGTTACCACAGGAGGAATAAAATGTCACTAACATTGTACACAAATATGAGATAATAGGATCAATTATTATTATCCATATTCTGTCTCCTGCAGGTTTAAGACTGTCCACTGCCTGTTGTATCCTCTCACCAGCTGGTGTCCCTGAGCTCCACATAAAAAAAAAAAGCACATTGGACAAACACGTCGGACAAGCGGCTGCCGGCCCCTCATGGATGAGGAGCTCTTGAATAGTGAATACTGATGATATTCATTGACGCCCACTCTTCTTCCCTGTGACTACATCCATACGACTACGTTTTCATTTTAAAAACATGTTTTATAGATGGATTATTCTGCGTACAGAAAATACAACGAGGGAACTCACGTGCATTGTTTCCAAACGTCTCAGTTCCTGCAATGCTCCCCGGGTCGATGCACGTTAGTTGCTCGGCGTGTGAAGCATTTAAAAATGAAAGCGTAGTTGTGTGGATGAAGACTGATGTTATAGACTCTTTTATATAATGAGAGGCTGTTCTATGAAATGAAAAGGAGCCTTCTCTTCGCCTCCGTGTCTCAAACAGACTGATGCATTAATGCATTGGTGAATTTATGTTATGTTTGTTTGGACTGAAGCACTTAAGACTAAAACTTTGTCAGAAACATTTGAGGTTCTTTTGTTGAGAAATTGACAAAGTAAAAGTTAGATTGTATGTGTTTTTAAATTGGTGTTATTGTGTGTGTCTGTGTGTTGTGTGTGTGTGATGAAGGGGATGGTGTCCTTGTACCTGTGAAGTCTGCACACAATGAACCATTCTGACATCTCTCTCCTTATCCAAACCCTCCATCCTCCCTCCGAGGCTTCTCTCGCCATCCACCCCCTTCCCTCCACCCCTCCATCTGTCTTCTTCCCTCCTCTCCTCTCTCCTCCCCCTGTCTCTCTGTTTACTCAGACTTATACACAATAGCTGTGGCTGCATCTTCAAGGCCACGACTGACAGATAAACCAACTTCCCCTTCTTCCTAGTTCCCTTATTTTTTTCCTATTTTACATTAAATAAAAAAAAAAAATAGGAATTTGACTACTTGATGTACGTGTTATTTGGTATCTACCACTGTGAAGGTTGTGAATAATCTTCGTAAGAAGCTGGAGCTCGAGCAGAGGGCTCAGATCTCGCTTTTGGATTAATGAATCTATATCCAAGTCTTCCTGTGAAAGCTCTATAAAAAAAAAAAAAAACATCAACAAACTAAAAGCATGAAGGTCACAGCTGACACGTCTGAGACCTGCTCCTCACCATATCTTAATAAATAAATAACTCAAATCTGCAGGCGAGTCTCATCACGACCAACAGATCGGGTTCAGGACCAGATCGCAAATCTTACAAAGACATGAATGCAATCGAATGTTGGTGCAGGAATCGGAGGCAGAGGCCACGTCATACTTGCAGAGAGACGACACTGTTCCGCCCGCTGGTGGGGCCGACCTTGTGTTAGGTGGATGGAAAGTGGATGTGTACGAATGGCTGAGTGGCCGTGACATGCGTGAGAACAGGGAGGGTCGAGTGTTGGAATGCAGGCGGAGATATCACAGTGGATGCAGAACCTATTTAATGCTGTGGTTACAGAATAAGTAATAGTCGTTGTTTCAAAGAACCTCTGGTTTGATTTAAATTACACACGTAAGAAAACCTTTCCACTACAGTGACTGAATTATTAAAGGTTCTAGGATGTTTCATTTCTGAAGCAAAATTTACATTAAATCAGGATAAATAGTTAGAAAATAATATTTTTTAAATGAAAGAGATTTAAATTCACACTTAAAAGCCTGATAAATGTGGCCTCATCTGAACTGCAGCACCATAGCACTTTTCATGTCCTCCATCTTTATATATTTCTATCGGTGAATCACAGTTGTTCTGAGTAAAGTAAAACGTTAGCAATCAACTATTTGGCTCTAACTGCAACTTGCACTTTCTGTCCTCTGGAACCTTTTACCTAAATTTGTTGTCGGGCAGATAGAAATGATTTTTACCAAATAAGCGTCACATATACTTTGGGACCAGTTATTAGCTTCTTCAATTAAATCTCTGGAGATGGGGAACCACCTTGAAAAAGTCAATTAATATCAGGGTTAAATCTTATTGAAGTATGTGTGAGTTAGCAAAGGTCTTATCATGAGATCATCTTGTTCTCTTTTCATTAAAACTTAATTAAATCTACTTGAGATAATAAAATGTGTTTGTGTTGAAAGCTGAATGTGTTTCATTGTACTGCTGAATATTTAGCGGGAATAGTGAGATGGTGGTAAAATAGCAGTAAATTCACTGAGGCTGCCACTCTTTTCCAAAAAATCAAGTTTGATGAATTTAACTCCACTCGAGTGGCAGCTCTGCAGCCACCTTCGGAATCCAGGATGAGTTCATTGGCCAACTAGTCTCAGCTGTGCCAATCAACTCTCCCTGGTTCACCCGGAGCTGCTCTCCGAGCCTTGTCCACAATCATCCAAGCTGCAGATCTTTTGATCAAAACACATTTGGCAAAAAAAGGTTATGGGCTGATAGAGGCTGGACGTGTTTTCCTTTCTACAGCAGCTACGTCTAAAAGAGACATGGTGATGATTTATGGATATTAATCTCGCTAAAGGTGCACTTGTCAAGACTGCGTGTTTAACAACTCCAGGATCCTTTGACATGTCCGCTGCATGTACGTATTGAATATGCATCTGTAGGATGCAGGGCGCTGGCCTCTTCTGAGTACGAGAGAATGATATTCCCGCATCCTCCTCCCCCGTGGTTGCTCGTGTCCCTTGCACGATAAATTTATGACCTCAGCTGTCCGTGAGCAGGACTAACTGTGGTAGCAGAGGAGCAGGTCAATTGGAGGCAGAGTGTAACAGCTGTCAGAGGAGCGCTCCTCTGTCCATCACATTAAATCGACAGGGCCCCTTAAAGGACAGCTGGGCAGAGAGGAAGCCAGGGAGGATTAGAGTGAGGGAGGAGGTGTCGGAGGGTCGGAGGAGAGAGAGGCAGGTAGATCTGGAGAAAAACAAGAACGTTGGGGATTCTGATACCTGAAGTTTCCAGTTCCTGCAAGAAACTCAAGTGATGGAGTGATTTCGTCCTCAGAATTAGTTGTTGTTATTCAGCAGGAACTTGATGGATTGTTGGGTTGGTCGATTTATCTGTAAAATCACAAGGCTGTGTTCTCCCCTGTCATTTATCAGTCAATCTCAACTGTGAAGCTTTAACAGCCGCTGTTCCACCCTGAACTCTAAGATATCATATGATGGACAATAAGACCAAAGGCTCGGAGACTGTGGCCGGTTTTCCATGATTTGTAACATAGACTGTGAATAAAGATGGACGACTAGTCATTTGGACGGAATCTGCTGTATCGAGGTCTCGATGGAACACTCGCCTGACCAGTCGTGAGTCAATCTGGCTGTAATTCATCACGTTTTTAAACCTTACCCTTTAAGAAGTGGTGCAAATATCATTTAAAATTACACTTAACCAACATAAAAACAAAATGTACATTTCAACCAAACTGATGATCCAAATTTTTGAATTTCCCTTACTTGTCACTGACGCAAATATGATTCTTTGTTTACTTGGACTCTCTCACGTCTCCACGGTTTGGATGTGAGAGCAAAAAAACCTCTTTTAATGATGGAACTTTACTTAGTTTGATCTGTATTTTCGTATCTCTAAGAGCAGAAAAAAAATCTATCTGGATAAGATAAAAGCTGAAAACAGCGACTCTAAAAGTATAAAAGATTTTCAGAGAGATTATCTGTATCTGTCTTCATGTTTTATTCAGTCTGCGACTTCTGCTTTCCCTCCTTTTTAAAGAAGTTCATTGATGAAAATGTGAAAAATTTGCAATTCTGAAAATATGTGATGTGTTTTTGTTCTGTATCAACTTTTCCGCTGCACGTCTCTGTCAACCTCATTATTTTTTTTGTTTCAATCTTTCCTCCCACCTATTGATTCCGCAACGTCACTCACTTTGTTTCTCCATTTCTCGCCTCAAGTTTTGCTTAATTCAATTTCCTCTTTTGTTTTCAGCCTCAGTTTTTTTTTTTTTGCCGCCTCTTTCCCTCCAGATCTCTTCTTTCTTTATCGTCTTTGCTGAACCAAATGGAAAGAGTGTGGCAGGTGTGACTGGGCCTCCGACCACCAGCTCTGACGAAGGACAGATTTGCAGAGGTGGAAAGAGCCGTGAAAACGTGTGTTCTGTGACTAACATCTGCCAACTGTCAACATCTTAGCAAGAGACAAGTTTCAAAATGAAACAAAAAAATCCTGGATACAAGTCGTCTGTCTTTTATTTTGACATCTGAGCAGTAGTGACTGTCGAGTGGAGTCATACTATCGAGGTCCCGCCCATACACGCTCTCAAACAAGTGGAAGTCAGTCTGAGCTGTCAATCTTAATGTTATGGGTTTGAAAAGGCCAAATAATCCCATAATCGTTCATAATCCACAACACTGATTCATTTGGTGCAGATGTGACTTCATGCGCAATCACATCTGGTGTCTTAAATCAACAATATTTCAACAAATACACAATTCTCCCATTTAAATAACATAAAAAACATAAAAACCAAAAGGTGACTTTGGTGACACTTTTGGTGAAATGCAACTATAGATCTCCAGCTACAAAAACAAGCCTATATACGTAAAAAATTGCTTTTGAAATGACACCGTATCAGCAAACTAGGGCAACAGTTCCACGAACATTTTGAATTCTAGATAAGAGTGAGGGTGAAATCTCCCAGTGCAGCTGCATTGAAAAATAGTCACAGCAGGACCGGAAACCTGCAGTCGAACACTTCTCAGGCGTGCACAGTGCAACTAGCACCAAATGACAACCCACAGATCTCCTGGCCTGATCAACACATGGAGATTCAGCTTCGACAGGAACAATAAAGGGAATATGAAGTTATATAGGAGAGAGATGAAACGGCAGATCTGAATGCTCTTTTGAAATCGGCAACTTCCAACTGAAAACATTCTCTTAGCAGTTTGATCGCGAATGCATCCTTTTCCAAACCAAAGCTAACGTCCACTGACCCGCTGCAGTTTCATAATGAACCTGAAATATCTTGAGTCAGGCTCTTCTATCATCGTAGGAATCACTAAAAACAACTTCTTTTGGTGTTTGTGAACAGAGCTGATGGATGTGCGATGAAATGAGATACGTTTGGAGACACGTGGAGGAGAGTCTAGCTTTGGCTAAATGTTTCTGTCCAAACTCTCCCTCAACCTCCTTAAGCTTTCTTTCACTTCCAGCTTTGTTGGTCACATCCATCAAAGATCCCTCTTCTGCACTGAGGCGCGCTCTTGTACAGGAATATTACAGTATCTAACATCGCTAGGCCTCCATTTGGTTAAACACGAACCTCTGCTCATGTAAATAACAGGCATGTGAAGCAGCAAAGGGAAGAGATGTGAGTTTTCCAAGAAGCAAAGCAAAACCAGCGAGGAGCTTGAAAAGCCGGAGTAAAGGATGATGTGCGGGTGAAGGTGGAAGCAGAGAAGGAGGGTTCACTTGAGAAATGGAGCGAAAGTCCCTGAGACAGATGGCCTGAGGCTCTGGGATATTACCTCCCTCCCCACCACCACCATTATGAAAACACAGCGGAGCAATGAAACTCCAGCTGTGAGCTGCACCGCCAGCAGCCACCGAGAGGCAGCAACCTGCCAACAAACAGCCACTAATGAACGGAGAAGCTGGAATTAGAGGCACAGGGAACATAGAGGAACACGCTTCATCCGTGTGGAGCATGACATGTGTGCATTATTGTGTGCATCATCAAACAGTCACGGCGAGTTCCCGTGTGATCTGTGGATTGGATAGATTCAGAGACTGATCACCAGTGACAGGTAGGAAATGGAGGGAGTGGGTTTCCAGAGATTTCTCAGAGCTGAGGTGTGGGGTGGGTGCAGAGCGGAGGGTGGCAGAGTCATGCAGGAAGATGGAGAAATAACAGGAAGGAAACATGAGGCTGAGAAGAGAAGATGGTCTCCTGTGTTTTTTAAATGAATAATAAATCAGTAAGAGCAA